AAGAATGCTGATTGTATTTCATTTTCTAATACGAAATGCAAGCTTACATACCAATGAGAGCTCCCTTGTTTCCTGAGAGGGATCTATTGAATGAATATTCGTATCCATAGCTTGTTTCTTTCCTGGAGGGAGATTATCATTCGAAGAAACTGATAAGGGGACACAGTCAACAATCTTTGATGCAATTAGACAGTGTCCACTCGGATTGTGCCCTTCAATACCCACCACCTGTACATATATGCAGTATCAAAGTTATTCTTCATCCTAAATAATAATTTCACACATAGGTGAAGATGAAATCTGTCCTGCAAAAAAATAATGAAACCTGGCCCGGGAAAATGGAAAACTGGTTTAGTTTCTGCAAGTCAAGAAGCACACGTTGTCCTCCAGAATGCTCAACGCTGTCAAAAACATTCATCATGTGTAATAGTATCAAGCATAAAGTATTGAATGTCCCTATAGCATCAATCATAATTCGAAGTCAAGATGCACTCGCTGCCCTCCAGAATGATCGACAGTAATTTACTCACCAGTAGAGGAATAAACTACTGTGGATATTATTGCCTATTGTTAAGCAAAATAGTCCAGTGGGATTGATAGCTAAATGTTGACAGCAAAAATGGAATTTTTTACATGTTACCATGGATAAATTGTTTTGTTGATCTATTTACCCACATCCAGGTCTTTCCTCATTTCACCAAAGTGTAAAGGTAGCACTTTACGGAGCCAAGTGCCCCTGACTACACTGTGTGCTAAATATACTTTCAACTTCCTCCAATATATATATATATATATACAAACTTTCAACTACCAAAAATCTAAATCCACAGCCATTCAAATATAAGACAGGTCACAGTTATTCCAGCTCTGCAGTCTTTGTCATCTATGCAAACTAACATAGCTGTGTTTAGCCTTACCTCATAATAGTAAACTGGCTTAAGATTTTTTGAGCATTGAAAGACCTACATTTACTTTTTAGTTGAAAAATTGGAAAGAATCTCCAAATGAACAATATTAAGAGCAGTAGTCTTTTACCTGCTTTGCAACAAAATAGGTTTTTCCTTCAAGCGACCTTCTTCCTCACAACAGATCATGCCAACGGAAAAAACACTTTTCTGAAACAACAGAGCACATGGCATGGATGGAAATTTAACATTTATGTAATCATGGAGCAACTGGGAGATGAGACTGATAACTGCAAAGAGACGTTCCCTTTAATTTTATCTATTTCATTCCCTGAAGTTTTGCGTTAACAATTGCATAACCAACCCTCTCTCTCTGTCACACACCCACACACAGTGTTGGAGGGGCATTACCTGGGAGGCAATGGAAGGGTCCATTATTTCGTCATATAGCCCAGAAGAGACAAATGTCGTTGCATGATTTTTGATGCGGTTTTCCAGGAAATTGAACTAAGTCAACAAAAAATGAGTAAGAGCATCGATTATGAAGAAAATTGTGAGTATTCACATAAAAACCATCAATACCTTGTCTTCAATTCTGTCATACATGAACCTACAACCGGGCTTGGGATGAGATTTATTAATTACCAAGGAACAGCGTTTGTTGGGTTGAACTCTCTTTATTATATCATCCTCGGAATTTGCATGATCCTGTTCTTCTTTAATGGTCTGGATATTAAGATGCTCATTAAGCATGGATTGCACCACAAACTTATTCTTTCTTTTCCCAAAAGGAGTCACTGATTCTAGATGTTTCCCAGAGGCAAATAAGCTTCCATTCATTTTTTGTGCCGAATCAAATGACTCCTCATTTGCCCTAGCAGAATTATCAGTGGGTGTATCAAGCATGCCGTCTTTTACGTCCTCATCTTCATCATTCAGTATCCTGTGTATAATGATAAATTTGTTGACTCACATTGTATAATATATGGGATTAATGCAACTCACAAAGTAAGATTTTAGATAGAGAAGTGAAGATTGATGTCACTGTCAATCACATTGTTGAAAACAAGATTTAAATGATATAATTGTACTCTTCTTGACAACTTAAATTTTTAGATTAAGTGATTCAACGTGATATCGGAGTGGACAAACTTCTAGAGTTCAAAATAAATCTTGCCTACACATGAAGGAGCATTGTCAAGACACGATGTAAATGATATACATGTGACCCTCTCTAACAGTTTAAGTTTTTAGATCAAATTGTTCAACATATTCTTATTTGTGTAACCAACAAAATAGGTTCTGAGATGATCTTTATTCACAAACAATCAAAAGAAATGGGTTTGAAAGACTGACAAATCCTAAAAAGCCAACTAAAACATCATCTTGATATGCAGTCACAGCAATGAGCAATGAATAAAAGAAACTTTCAATCTCTTTTAACTTATTTTCAAATATTCTTTTGGTTCCTAAATTCTATAAATTTATTAATTTAATTGCAAATTTCAATCGAGATCATGAATAGACTGGATATGGTGATGTAAAATGTATCAGTGATGCAAATACGCATCACCATCATGATATTAGTTTGACTTCATTACCCTCAGACATAAATTGTTTAAAAAATAGCTTGCTGCATCAAAAGATAATTCCTGTTACATGTTTGTGTGTACATCCATTGCCAAGATTAATTAAGTGATTTGATGTCCAAGTCTGGGTAGTTTTCAGTTTCAATACTTGATAATGATATTGGTAAGCTGCTATCAGTTCCAGAAATGTGACATAACTTACCAATTTAAGAATGACCTCGACAGCACCCTTTCCATCAGCAAGGGCCCCATCTATTTCATCAATAACCTTTAAAAAGACAGTAGCTAGTTTAGATTCACATGAACGACAAGATTAACTAGAACTGATATGAAAAAAAATGGTTTTCTAAAATTTCATAATATACTTAATGAAACTGACCAAACACTTGGGCTTTGAATCAGCAATGATGGAGTTCATCTGAACCACATCAAGGATTTTGGTTTCGATGGTTGATAATGACCGGTCATCACTTGCATTGATCTGTTACAAAAAGCACTTATCATGAGAACCATGGAAAATGTAGAATACAATTAAAACTAAATTACTTCAGAGACACTCCATTCCTATGGAAGATTTTAAAGGCCTTTAAGGAAAATATATGATAGACTAGGATTAAGTTATGCATGATGATATAAAATTAGAAGCTGGGATAAATAGGAAAACCAGTAAAAAAAATTAGAAATCATGGAAAACCATCAGAAGCCCTATGGCAGTTGGTCCTATAAGTGAATCTAAGCATTACAAATTACAAATAACTGTCTTACAGCACTAGATTTGAAGCAAATCAAATTAATACTGAAAAATAAAAACAGAATTGATTCTTGTATATTCATCTATGATGAGAAGTTATGACATATCAGGGTATGTATGTTTGTGGTTGACAACTTACTATAAAAACAATTAGGTGAACTGAATCTCACTTTATGGTCTTGAAGTTATGTTATATGAATGAACTGTAAATAAGCAAATGGAATAAAATTATATTTATGAGAATCAATAAAAGATTGAGGTTATAGGACCTCCACAACACGGTACCCACAGTGCCTGGCTGCTACATGTGCAAGCGTTGTCTTCCCAAGCCCAGGGGGTCCACAAAGCAGAAGAATCTGCAAGACGTGAAATCCTTCAACAAAAAAACTGCAGTGCAATATGAAAGTTCCAAAAATAAACAAACAATAATAGCAAGTTAACCCTCGTTCCAATAAAATTGAGGTCAACTGCATAATCCTTTGCCAAGACTCGTGTGATGTAGCACTACGTTTATTAAAAGATCCAATGAAATCAAGCTTTCTGAAACCATATCAGGCCATTTAACTTTGGTCTACTTCACCATTTTCTAACTAGTTCAATGGAGATCCCTTCACTCTTGTAAATAGAACTTCTTTAGGTATTCCCAAAACATACCTCAACTATCTAATCCTTTCCTTGATGTATTGTCAAATGATGCAACATCTACTTGTTGGATAATCACCTTGCTTTATATTTTATCCATTCTAAAATCACAACACATCCAAATAACGTCCTCATTTTTTATACATTCATCTTATAGATATTTTGACCTACTGCTAAACAATCAGTACCAAGAAGCATAGATACGCTGACCATTCTATAGAGCTTATTGAAAAAACTCATAAATCAGCATAGCTAATAATAACATTGGTTCCAGGTTAATACTGTTATAGATACTTTGTCCTACTGATAAACAATCAGTACCATGAAGCATAGATAGTCTGACCATTCTATAGATCCACTAAGAAAAGAATCATAAACCAGCATAGTTAAACATAACAATTCCAGGTTAACACTATGGGACGACCACGAGGATGAATGCATGGGAAAGTCAGTATTAACTGACCTTCTGTTCGGGTGGACCAAATTGCTTGCGCTTCTTGTCCCATGCCTCATGAAACCCGGGTGACTCGCTCTTTTCTTCATCCATCTTGTTATGAGCTCTTACATTTTCTCTAATAAATCTGGGTTCTCTATTGCTGGCAAAAGAACTGTTGGTAGAACGTTTTACATGTTGAACTCCTGATGAATGTCGTCTCAAAGCAGACAAAACTTCATCTCCTGTGCTCTTAATTTCAGATCCAAAAACAGAGGAATCCCATTGTTTCAACCACAAAAGGACCTACAAAAAGCCAAAGTAAAGATAAGACTGGTGAAGCTAGAAATACGGGAGTAGTAAAAACCTAAAGAAGAAACAACAATAAATCTTAGAGAATTAAAGAAAAAGCCAGACGAATCCAGTAGAACAACTCAAAAGATAAAGAAGGATCGTTAATTCTTTCATGCTCGTTCCATACCTCACGATTTGTCTGTTCGTCACTAAGAAGCTCTGTAAATGAACTTGGAGCATATTTGTCCACCCAAAGTTGCTCACTAACTGCTGGTACTTTTGGAGTAACTACATCAGTCTGACCTTCAACACTTGCTCGCAAAACCTTCAATAACATGACATGACAAAATTTGAGGGAGGAACAATATCTTATGCAAAACAAATATGTATAGAATTTCTTGAAACAAAATCTAAGTTGGGGCCTTTCGCAACTTCATGAAGCTAAAACTTGAAAAGATCATTATCCATTTTGATATCAATTGGCATCAGCAGTCTGTCAAACACGACGTGGATTCTTCCATTTTTTAAAAAATCTTTACATGGGTATACAGATTAATCAATTGTTAGTTATTCAAAACGAGCTTAGTAAGAAGCTGATTCAGCTTTACCTGCCAAATTTTTTAGCTAGAGAGTATATCAATAGATTATATAAAACAACTATGGAAAAACCTGTTACAAAATGAATCCGCGGCAGTAAAACTAAAATGGAAATAAACTGCAAAAAAAAATTTGGGCCACTTGCAACACTTTAGTGAGGCACATCAGCATGCTTCCTCCATATTAAAGAAAAATTCAATTTTATTTTAACCTAGTTTTAGTTTCATTATGTGAGAAAGGAAAAACAGAAGGAAAAGAATTCAGCACATATAAGTTATTACATGGGTAAAAAAAAAAACTGAATTACCCCTGAAAGATATGCCTGAGTATGAAAAGTAGCAGAAAGAAGAACGACGGGAAGTCTAAAGTTGCTCATATATGAGTGCCAGAAATAAATACATTATAAATATTTCTTTGGTCTCCTCTTCCCTTCTTTTCAGGATGTTATTTAATATATGACTAAGAGCTTGTTTGGTAAAGATTATAATCGGATTAAAATTGAAAAATCAGCCATTATTGTTGACTATTATTAGACGAGTGAGACTCAATAACGACTATATTTTCAATTTAAATTGGATTAAAATTCCTCCCAAACAAGCTCTAATATTGGTTCAGCATTTCTAAAGAACAAGACATTACACAATCTGAAGAGTACCTTCGTAAATTCATCGTGCTCTACCTTTTGCATCAGAACCCTGACAGATTCTGGAATGAGCCCTGCAATTTCGATATAATCATTTTCATCGATGTCCTAAAATATTAAGCTTTCCAACAAAGAGTAGTTCAGAAGCATGCAGAGCGGTTACGTTGTTACTTTCTACATCCAGTAAAGAAAATTGCGATTGATGGGTAATACAAATTCAGAATTTCTGTATATAGAAGGAAAAACACTGGAAATTTGTCTAAAGATGAAGTATGGGCAAAGATAAGTTTTCAAAAGATATGTGCTTGAGTTTCATTTGCACAAGTGCAATATGTAGACAACTTTGCAAAGAGGTATCATAAAACATGGCAAAAATTATCTTACTAGGAGAAGTAACGGTAGCACTAAGTTTTATTATTAAACCTTAAAACGAAATACAGAAAAGAGACATACAGCCTTACTGCTAATAACAACTGTCCATCAAATCCCAACAAATACTCTGTATTTTGGAATAGTAAACACCTGAGTCATAAACTTTTCCCCATCTACAATGGTGTCAAAGTGGGCGTGCTCAACCCTAAAAAGTATGGATTACGGTTGCCCCGTTTTGTGAGGATAGAGATGACAAAATATTCTAAATCCGTCCTGTACTTTCCCCTATCTGAAATCCTCGTCTTGAATCTTCCTTTTCATGTTTTTAAATTCAATCGTATTCGCAAAAATAAAAATAAATAAATAAGTCAATGTAGGGATGGATCCAAGACCGGATTACAAGTCGGGTTAATACGTAAAAAAAATAAAATTACACAAAAAAATTCTTTTTTACATAAATTTTTTTTTTCTACTAAAAAAAATTCAATGGGATGGGGGCTAGACTGGGCTACAGCCTGGTCGGTCGAGCCCCCCCAAATCCCTCCCTGTAAATGAGACAAAAAATGAAGATTTTTGAATCCTCATACCTGCCCACTCGCCTGCCCTTATTGTCTCTATGCTCGGAGAGCCAGTTTCGGTCTGCCCTCGTGCCCCATGCAATATATATATTCTTTAAATTCCATTAAAATCCTTTATAGAAAAAAGAAAAAAAATCTAATCTAATCGTCCCATCCCGGCTTGATGGGCAAGTCTATGGCTCATTCTGCTCATTTTGACACCTCTAGTAGTATAATTGTACCTATATATTTATGGGAACAATACAAAACTCCTATTTTTAAAGATCACATTGTGCTAGCAAGATTATGAATGAATGCTGTATTGTTGTAGTAAAACTCTCGAATCCTAATTGTTAAATGGGAACAATACATAACTCCTAATTTTAAAGATCACATTTCATAAATAACAAACTCATTAAAATATTTCAAAAATCAGGTGGTAAATTAATTTATTAAATATTAAAATATAATATAATATACATTAATTATTTCTACCCATGCCACCTCACCTACCACATCCTATCACCCCATACACCACCTTCCCTCCACCTCTCCACTGGTCATCATCTCTAGCGATCACTCTGGCGCCTCCTCTGACTATCACTCCGGTGGCCTCTCTGACGACTTTTCCGATGACTTAAAGATTTTCAGAAAATTAAAAATTGAAAATCACACTCCCACCCCCCTGGATCCACCTACCACCACCTCATCCCTGTCTCCACCTCCTAATAAATTACCGAAAAATAAATTGTGTTCAGTGTGATTGTACGTGACTAATTGTGACCAAGTGTGTATTCAATGTGACTAACTATGACAAAATTTGTGTTGAGTGTGACTGTCTGTGACTAGGTCAATCTCAAGTCACAATCGATCACAATCAGCACAAAATTGGTCACAATCAAACAACTGATAAGGCAACTAACCTTACCGCCAACACCACCAAAGTGCATCCAATAAAAAAACTATCTACAAAAAAAACCACACACAACAAACCATCTTCTCCCTTGACTATCGCCACATCAATATTTAGCTTATGGAAATCACTACCTAGACCTAGAAATGCCCATCTGACTGGAATTCTCCGCTGACCCCTCAGCTAGTCCATCTAGCTTTGCAAAGAACATATGCTTTCCTAAACAAATCAAGTGGTTCGAAGCTGCTGTGGATTCACAGGGACGGAGATGGTTGTGTCGGGGCGAAGCTGCTACAAGAGGCGGAGGGAGGGAGAGAAGATACAGATTCATAGAAGAAGAATCGTATTCCTCCATGTTACTCACAAAGCTTATGAGCAAAAGAAGAACATAGGTTTGCCTATTTGCAGCAGTTTACACAAATTTACTATACATTGGAATTTTTTAAAATATGTACTTTCTTGGTATGAATCGACCATGGTAAGGTCAAGTGCATCTGGGTCTGAGTGGGTGTAATTCATTTGTTTTAATTAATTTAGAAATTAGTATTTACCACCTGATTATTGAAATTTAATCTTTCACCCACCTACTTTTGAAATGTAATCTTAAAAAGAAGGTTTCTAGGTAATTTTCCCTATATTTATTTCTTGAGATAACATGTGCTAAAATGTCTATTATTGAACGCAAATAAGAAATAACAACATTTGCGATCCACCTAAGTCGTGGGCCTCTATTAAATCTAGCAGTACCCAGTAGAGCAAGCTTGGACATCGGCAAGGCCCATCACCTGCAAATTTACTCAAACTTGCAACTCAACTCACTGCAAGACTTGTTTTTGGACCCCTAAGATTTAAACGACTTGATATGTTTTGTCACCTCTAACTTAATGACTTTGCTATTTGTATATAAAAAATGTATATAATGGATTATATAATACGATGTGGAGGGAAAATATTGGAAAAAAAGTTGATTGTCTTTTAAATTGATAAATAGTAGAGTGTCATGTGACATTATGTAATCCATTATGTAAATATTAATGTACAGGTAGTAAGATCCCTAACTTAAATATCACGTTGTGAAACAATTAACTAGAATATCAAAACGATCAACATAAACTTGACCAAACAACACGTGACGCAGCTATGATGGCATTTTCTTATCTGGTGCCGTGATCAGAGGCGTCTTACAAATAATCTGTATGAGACGTATCCTTGAATCAAAGCATAATCAGGAATTAATACATGTATTAGGTGCCAATCACTAACCTCTTATGTCCAGACACACATGCTTTTCTTAATCAACCCATGTCTCATGTGAAGTAGACAAGAATAATTTGGACAAATAAACAACAGAAGTGGGAATTATTTACAGATTGTGGGATGTCCAAAATTTAAAGAAAGTTAATTAAACATACAGATCTAATTCATTACACAGCTAACTTTTCATGATTTTGATTATCCACAGCAAGGCCTTGAGCACCAAAACAGAAGAATTGATTCATCAGCCTCATGTTGGAGGAGTGCATGTGCTTCATTTTCGACTCCTGAATTTTCGGGGATTGATTCAAGCTAGAGGGTCCCGCAACAGCACTGTCGAGATCCACACCCTTCTCTTTATCAGCAGATACAGCAGATGACCAAGATGATTCGGTAAAAGGAGTTGAAGGTGATCCAAAGCATGAGCGTGGCATCATTTGCACAACACCGTGTGATAACTCTGCAGCAAATTTCTGTTTTGTGGATGGACTCGGAAGGTTACTCCTTGTAGCAAGTCTCTTGTTGTTTGGCAGGGAGGATATTCTTGAAAACTGTTGCCTAAGTGGAATTGGGCTGTTTTTGAAACTCGAACAGATTCTGAGCGATTCTACAGAATTATTGTCTTCCAACTCGGTGATTTCTTCTTTTCTCTTTTTCTTCCCTGCCCAACGAAGAAGAATCTTGAGAAGCCTAGCAGCGTTATTAACAGAATCTGATTTCTTCTTATTAGTTGAGCTCGACCCAGCAGGCGAATCTAAGCGATTCAGTTCACCTGAACATGAAGCGTACCCGCTTGTTAATTCACAACTAACATCAGATGCATTTCCAATTCCAGAATACAAAAATATTTCGGTATCTGGGATTCTGAAAGAAGTTCCTGGACTGCCTCCAATCCCCTGCATCCTCAGATGGGAAGCAAGAACACTTCTAGTCATTTGATCTTGACAATTTGAGATTCCTCCAGCTGATATCAGCCGCTTAATTAAAATCTCAGAAGAAGCCGATTTCGGTCTTTGCTTGAGGAGATCGAGAGGAGTATTTCCATCCTCATCACGAATATTTAAATTTATATAACGCACCGACATGAGAAGTTCCACAACGTCAGATTGAATGTTCTCAATTACGGCCATGTGAAGGGCAGTTCTACCATCATTGTTCTTAACATTGATAATGTCTTCCATATTAACAATTTTTCCACCAACCAACTGCTTCATGAGCTCCATCTGTCGGTCCAATCTTTGGAATCCAGGGGTTCGGAAGCCAGCCACTGCCATGTGCAAAAAAGTATCTCCATAGTTGTTTGTTAGGGATGTGCGTGAAGGAGATGCACATATAAGGATCTTTACTACGTCTACATGACCCCGGTAAGCAGCCACAATTAATGCTGTATTACCCTGATTGTCTGTGGCGTTGATGATGTTAAAGGACGATAATAAATTTTTAACTACCTATATGGTCCAAAAAGAAATAAATGGAACGTTAGAAGTGAAATTTTAATGTGGATACGAGAATACTGAAATAAAAATAGTCATGGTAATGATGAACTCATACAAAAGTATGTTGACATACTATCCTTCGATTAACTTGGTAAAAACTTAAAAATCAATAAGACTCTGGAGCGCATCTGGCTAAGCTTAAAAACTTGACATTTCTGCATTTAGAAGTTACTTTTTTCAGAGGGGGCGCGGGGGGTTGGTTGCTTCACTTGCTTTCCGAAAACGTAATTTCACAGTAAATGACTGGTAAACGACAGTAAACGACTCAGAAATCTCACAGCTCCTTACTGAAATTAAACATCAAGCACAACTCAGTCATACTGCCAATTATGATGAAAAATAACAAAGGAAAATTTCCCATTTTAACGTCATTCCCTTTCTTCTTTGCCTTAAATTTTTTTTTTCTACAGATGTGAATTAACTCACTGAGCTGGTATTCTAGTTCTGTTAAGTTACTGGAGGGAGTAAAAATGAACAAACTTTAACACAACCTTAAATTTTAACTTCAAAATAGATGAAGACGCCATTTAATCACCAGACATAGTTCTCAAATGAGCCAGCCACACGAAGCTAGTCATAGCGCAAGAGGAAGGTCAAATATAATATTATCATATTCGAGTCCTATACGGTTCATAGGGTAGAATTTAAGAGCTTCTAACTGAAAACGCAGGTTCATCTACATTTTCCCCGCCTACTCGAAATCAATTTCATAAAACCACCACCAAGGTTTGACTTTAAGGAGCAAAAATATCAAACACTTCAATTCGTAAGTTATGTTTCCATAGTCGATACTAGCTGATGCCTCGGTGGAGCTTGGGATGCCGTAACAGGGAAGTGGAGAGTTTGAGTAAAGGTTAAAAGCATAGCAAAAACAAGTAAGACAAAAGCACACGTTTGGTATGCAATATTAGACAGGATAAACATTAAAAACAAACAAGAATTCAGATTCTTCAATCCTGTCCTGTACTATCTAATCCATATTACAAAGCATCCTAAAATACGACGTGATTTACATATGACTATCAATCAAGCAATTTAAGTAGCAAAAGAAGAAAAAGAAAGTAATATTTACCTCGACCTGCCCTCTACCAGAAGCTGTATGTAATACTAAGGATCCTTGGGCATCTCTGTAAGCCAAAACATCAGATTCATCCTTACAAAATTCTCTCAAGATCTCTATATTTCCTCCTCTAGCTGCAGCATGGACAGCTCTATTAACCATTTCGCTCTTAAAAGCCGAAGAAACTTCCTCGTTTTCCCCTTTAGTGGTCCAGGAATAAGTTCTCAATATGGCATGATCGAACACCAGCCTAAAAACCTCAGAATTCTTGCTTCTAGCAGCCGCGTAAAATATATCCGTAACACCATATTCCCCTTCTCCAAATACTAAAAGGGGGTCTTTATCCAACAATTCTTTAACAAATATCACATCCCCTGCTGATGCAGCAGTGTATAAAAGCCAACCCCCATACCCAGCCCTGATTAGAGAATTATGTCCTTTCTTGGTTTCACATTCTTGGAGGAGCTGCTGCGCGACTCGGGACCGGTATTTAGCAGCATCATTAAACTGTTCTTCATTGTCCCACACGGATTCAAGACGACGAATTCTGCGTAAAGAGCTGAGTTTAATGAGAAGATTTGTGTCAAGGTGAAGAAGCTCCCTGACTAAATCATAATGCCCATTGGCAGCTGCCCAATCAATGGGAGATGCAAACCACCATTGATCTCCAGTACTCTCCCATCTCAAAGGGAAGTATGTAGGAGGCATTGACGAAATTACTCTGAAAATTCAACGCAATCTGTAGCAGAATTTCACAACTTTCAGCAATAATATATAATCATATCTAATATTAAGAAATTTTGACTCCAAGAACCATTCAATAGGATCAAAGCAAAATCATTGCCCAAATAAAGTGCAGAAGTATAAATTCTTTTGGGTAAGACAAGCCAATATCTCAAAAGTGATGTAATAATGAGTAATAAAATGCACAAAAGTTAGGAATATTGGATTCAAACAAGGGTCTTAAGAGTTTGAACCAAACAAGACTAGATAAACACTAATCTAAACAGCCCCCAACACTCATCAAGAAAACACACAGAAATTGCAAGAAATGGGAAATTTGGAGGAGAAAAAACAGACCCACACAATAATTGTGGCGTAGCAGGTGAAATATTAATAAAAAAGATAATTTTAGGCAATTTTTTTGCAGATGAAAACAAAAGAAAAAAGACTACATGTATGCAAATTTTTCATTGGCCACCCAAAATGAAAATAATAAATCCAAACAAGAAATCAAAATTCCCTCGAAGTTACAAGATTCTGTCGCCCCCGTGAAAGGCGAAAGATGAGAGAAGACAGAAAGAAAGAGAGAATTCACAGTACGCAGATTGTGGGGTTGACTGTACTGTAAAAGCATTTTTGCCAACCTTAATGGATTATGGACCCCAATTTTACTGTTTTGTGCGCAAAATGATATGTAACGCAAATAAGTAAAAAATATTTGATATTTATAATGTTTAATAATTTTTTGATACAATTTTAAGTCCTAGGAAGATTTTGTAAAAACAAGATTTCCTGAGTTTTTAATACATGAAAAGAATCAAAAGATGATCACCTAATTTTTATTAAATTGAAATGAATTTATACAGCTTTTATTGCATTAAAAAAAATTTATGATCGTTTTTAATCAATGTTGAGATTCTGTTACTGAAAAGTCTTGTTTATTCCGTAATTCTTCAGTTAAAATAAAAAAAAAAAGTTTTTTTCTAATTATTTATCTTTATTTTGGCATAGTTTTTGTGAATCTACAAATTTTTCTTAATTTCTTGATTTTTTTTTTTTTTTGCTTAAAATCTAAAAAGTAAATGATTGAAAGTGAAAATTTAAAACATTTTATCTATAAAAATAACAATATATTAACCCAAAAGAAACTTCTCTTCTATATTGGAGGAAAAGTTATCTTACTCGATGGTTAATATTTTTTTGTTCTAAAATTTTCTTGTCATTCATAACCATTGTCGAGCGCAGGTCGTAGTATTTGATCAAAGTTGAAATTTTCTCTTTACTTTTCTATTCATATCTTATTTCTTCATGTTTCTCGATCATATATACATGAATCTCTCACAATCAAGATCTAGGCTATGTTTGAAGTTTGAACCCCATTTTTATGAAAAATGAGTTTTAAAAAAAAAGAAAAGAAAGAGTTTTTAGATGATGAAGTTCAAATGACGATTGTATTCTATTGTGTGTAATAGTTCAATTTCATTTGACTGACATGAAAGAAATCACAAAAAATTAATTCAATTTCATTTGAACCAATGGTGTTTAACATTAATAGAGGTATCAACACACGTGACATTAAATGATAGATAGAGACAGCTCAAACATTAACATGTTAGACTGTCGCATAAGCCCCTAAATTATTGAATCCCACAATTTTCGAGTTTACATATTTCTGCCTTTGTGGTTTTCTTATAAAAAATTAAATCGAAAATTTATCAAATTAAAACATAATTAAAGATTGTGTCAATCTCGTTGTCAAGTTCTTCAAATCTTGTTATCCAATGTGATAACTTGTTATTCGAGGCAATAAAATGACAGAAAATTAATATTTCAAATAATAAATTGCCAATAAGAATGACTACTGTAGTCACCAATTATGAATAAAATTAATCTATTTACTCGTGTTATCTCTTTATCACACTTTTTATTAATTGTGAGTGGTAGATTTTGTACGGAAATTGAACTTAAAATGATGGCCAATTATTTTGACAATAAATAACTTTAATACTGCAATTATTACCTATGAAACAAACCATCTAAGTACAATTTCGGAATAGAAGGGAAAAATTGTCCAACAAGGGATGCATTTTCATGTAAAGTGAGGAATTCTACCCTACTTAAATCACTGTTAAAATTCTTTTGAAATAAAGAAAATCTTGTTGGACAATTTTACATCTTTTGTTCCATATAACGTGAGTGTCAAGTAACCATTAATATTTAAATAAATGTTTTCCGTTAGTTTGGGACACAAGTTTGTAACAAATCGTAAGCCAGTGTCGTGTGCCACATTTACGACTATTTAGAGACTCCTAATGAAATTTACTCGACGACATTTTCTTTATCGTACAAATTATTTTGTCAAATTAGTGAGAAGGGTTCCTAATTTTTATTTTCTGACTTGTCCATTGGCTGCATTATTAATTCATAAAATAATAACTTGATAAATATGTTTTGAAAAATTGCAACTTGGGAATACCACATTAAAAAAACAAAAGAGAGACATGCTTCACATGGCTCCTTAAGGAATCTCAATGTCAGTTTTAAAATAAATTCCACTTGGTATTATTTGATTATTTTAGGGTCATTGGATCAATCTCAAATTAAGTCACTTATTTTATCCAATGGATTTCACTTTCTACATTAGACCAAGTAAATATTTTGGCATACACATATGTACATGTTAAGTGAGTGTTTGGTGGTGATTAAAATTAGATTTTTAGTAGATTGCGATAGAAGTTTTTGAAATGTGTGGTTAAAAATCTGTGGGACCATAAAAGATGTGGTTAATATTGATTGCTTAACTTTAACTTAGATTAAAATCTGATTTTAATCTGAAACAAACATGGCCTAAATATTTGTGCGTACTAGTAGACTTGTGGATGTATCGTATGCAAATTAGGTATCATTATTTATAGAAAGTATACTATATGAGTATATTAACGTATAGAAGTGTACGATTAACATAGACAAGTGTACCACAACTTTCATTATGATGCTCATCATTAGTATACGAAGAATCAAGCTTGAAAAGAAGAAGACACGGAAAATGTAGCAAATCTTTATTTCCTGTTTATAATCGATTAACCAATTTTTTCATCTATTTCATGGAACCACAAAACTACGCATTAATCTACGCTCATCGCTTGCACAATAACGGTTCAAGGCCGAAACATCTTATCTTGAAAATATTTGAAAGCCTTGATTATAAGGTTTTCGTAGTCTGAAGAAGAAAGAAAAAGATAATCGACCATACTATATCGAGATCATTCATTACTTGTAAGAACTTAAATTAGAAATGGTATTTTACAACACTAAGTTTTGGATAGATTTGAAAGAGATAAAAATGCATTATCGCCACGATCAGTTTCTCTTAACTTCCAATGCAAAAATTCCCACTTTTCGAGTGCCACCACTAACAATATCAATGGCAAATAATTTGTCCCAGTTTTTGTACACAAAACTTTCCACATTTCTTGGGTTTCGATGTTATGTATAAATACAACATATAGTATATATATAGGGATGAGCTTCTTGTTTTGGGAATTCATCTTTGCATTTTCTTGGAGGAACCATCTTTTTCTGTGTGACGATAGAGTGTGATCTTTCACATTCTTCACAGCTCCAAGAAAATGGCAGGTCGATGGGTGAAGCCTGAGGTAATCTATTTTCATTTTTAAATGGATATATAGGTTAAAGGGCAAAAAAAAAAAAGTTAAAATATTGTTCATTGTGGGTGCGCGGGTAAGGTATGGACGAGTCACATTAACTCGGGTTCATTCGCATTTTCAACATGTACATGCACTCCTTTCGGAAAACAAGCATGTCGACTTTCCAAATTTAAGTCCTTATTTCCTGATCATTATTTCTACCGAAAATAGGTTGGAACGTGTAATATCAACTGCAAACATGACAGCTTGTGCAATGCATTAATTAATTCTTGAGTTAGCCACTTATTTATGATGTTTTACTCGGTAGGTATTCCCACTATTTGCAGCAGTTGGTGCAGTTGTGGGCTTATGCAGCATGCAGCTCGTAAGGAATATTTGTACCAATCCCGAAGTGAGGTACATTCAATCGACTCGAATTACGAAATATGATTCTTGTAGCTGACCCAAAACGTAATGAGAACAATGCTTAGTTGATCTTTCTTTTTTTCCCACCGTACATCATCAATGCTGTTAGACCAAAATTCTAAGATAGCAAGGCAATGGTTGACACTAAAGCAAATATTTGAAGCTGTAAATCACAACATGATTTGCTGATTTACTCATGAAATTTCAGGGTTACGAAAGAGAACAGAAGTGCAGGAGTGCTCGAAAACTTTGAAGAAGGGGAAAAATATGCCCAACATGGCCTTAGGAAGTATGTTCGTGGCAGACGTCCTGAGGTCATGCCTAATCTTAACAAGTTCTTCTCAGATCCCAAGTGAAGCGGATGCTGCAAGTAGCTTTTAGCTATTGTATTTGAAAAAAGAGAAATTTGTAGAAACTAGTTCGTAATTTCAATTATATGGTATAATTAAATTTATATTTTGAAACTGGAAATCATCTATGTTTGATGGTCTTAAGCAACTTTTTTTTTCCTCAACATATCATTAAAGCAAGTTTTGCGCATAGTATTGGACGCGACTCAGATACTTCTTTTTATCATCTAATAACGTCCAGTCTTGTACACAATTAGCAAATTGCTTGGTCTTTCTGAAATCGTAGGTCCTTCATGTTCTAGCCTTTTAGGGGTGTTAAGTGGAGTGAGCCGCTCAGCTCGACTCGGCTCAGCCCAAAAAAAGTTTGAGCTTGTGGTTTGACCCACAAAAGTTGAAGACTTGCCTGACGTAACGACATTGTCATTTGTTATAGATTCTTTCAGCCAATATAGTTATTTTTTGTACAACTGTAGGTGTGTTTGATGTTTTATGCATCAGCCAAGTACAAATATATTTTTTGTTTCTCCCAAGCTCCACCCCTACGAGTTGCTTCTTGCTTGTACTGGAAAAAAATCATGTAGAGGCGAGCTTGATCAGCTCGACGGACTCGAAATTCCTAATATCTATTATTGAGATAATGTAACAATGAAAAATCTTGAGATTATTTGCTCTGAATTGTTTATATATCCATATTAAAAGTGCCAACTTGGGGAAGATTATACTAGGCGACAAGATTTTGTTCGTTGATGAATACGAAAAAGCTTACAAAAAACAAGTGTGATTTTTCTCGACTTGTAATATTTTGTATTTTTAGTCATGTCAAGTACGAGGTTTCGTTACTTTTGTAAGATAATTTGCAAAAGAATTGAAAAACCACTTGCAGTAAGTAAAAGCTCCGGTGAAGAAGAAAGAGGGGGAAAAAAAAAATTCACAAGTGGATGGGAATTGAACCCGACGTGAATCGAACACGCAACCTTCTGATCTGGAGTCAGACGCGCTACCATTGCGCCACGGATCCACTTTCTTCTTCTACTTCACCAAAAATTATATATCATAGCTATTACATCGTTCATCCTTCCCCATGGGAATTCTTGACGTACTACTGTAGTTAGGGTAGCGAGCCTTGTCACAGTATTCAGAAAGATGGAACTTGTTCGGTGAAAAAGAATACACAACGAATGAGTCTCGGGAATAATAGAAAGCACTATGATGTTAACTTACAGTTTTGATTTCCGTGTTTAAGTGGCCATTATTTAGTTTTGAGTTTAACTTTTATGTTAACTACCACATAAGCACGAAACTGAAGTACGGTACTTAGGAAATCAAAACTAGCTTGAAATTATTTATTTTGGAAAACCTGAAACTAACTCACTCAACAACTTCTATACAATCCTAAAACTTCAACTCAAAAGCTATAGGTAACTCAGTGTTTGATACAAGAATATGTACCCGACAAATTATACAAAACAACAAACAAACATCTAAACATGTATCTATTTACTAATCATTTACACTCATTTCCAACTCAACACGCTAAACACGTCACAAGTAGACTAACTAGAAACGACACATTACATTTTGTCCTACAATTTCGCACCCCAATTTGTTATTCTTCCAGCATCCTACTCCAATCCACAACTTCAAGAAATGCAAAAACCAGCCAAGGATAGTAGTACTCTAAACATTATGCATACAAGGTCCAAGGTAAATGATTATAGACATCACTAAAAGACCCAGCAATTTGTACAAAAGACCAGTTCCACAGTTCCAAGGAAACATCTTACAACAAAATGTATACATTCGGACAAGATCATGAGAAATGGTGATACTTCTATGAACTTCTTCTCAAGATACTAAATTTGTTCAACCAAAATGAGCTTTACTTGCAAATGTTGAAACTGCACTTAGGTTTTCGCTCAATTGATACCCCGGTATACAGATCCAGGGCAGAGCTCGTCCATGCTATCAATATTCCGGTACCCATTGTACTCTCTTAAACATGTCCAGCCACGACGGGACAAGAAATCGCGAAAATCATCTTCACTGTAAAAAGTTTTGTCCTCTGTGTGAACTGGCAAGTGATCCGACTCCTCGTACAGACATAGTTTTATTGTCAGGCCTGCAAAAGGAAATATAACTTTCAAGGTTAGCTAAAATTAATTTTGCCATTATTTTTCAAAACTATAAAAATATCATCCTTGTACAATAAGGCTGCTAGTGTCCCTGCTTGTATGCCTGTAAGCAATAATAATGTTACGTGGACACAATCAAGTGAAGATAACTTTTTTCTAACTTTATCCAGTCAAGAATTCTAATTATTTAAAACTTACTTATTTACATGTAAGCTTTTTAAGCTTAGTCAAACAAGTTTACAGTAATAGATGTTACCAGCGACTCTACCTTCATCGACATGAAGAGTGTAGTTTCCCAAGGGCATATCTCTGTCAAGTGTTCGGACTACATTATCTTCATCTTCCAACCAAAACGCACGCTTTGTCCTCAACCTAAAAGTAGATTTGATGGCTTCCTTGATGGCATCTGCAGTGCCATCGATCCCTAATCTCTTTGTGTAATCTCCCAATTTCACCGTTATCACCCTTCCATCATACGAGTGACTTTGTTCACCTGGCAAAAAAGGAATGTTAATCAGAGAACATAAAGGTCTAAACCATAAATCAAAAATCTCAAACTTTCATCATTTCATCAAACAGAAGACCATAATTAACTGCATGAATCCGAACAGTCATGCATCATGAGGGAAAATTGCACCATTGGTCCCAAGATCCAACCTATTATCCCAATAGGTTCCCAACAATGGGAACAGTCCACAGCTTTGTTAAATTTAAAATTTCATGCCTCAATTCAAAGATTTGTGCAGCTTCTGTTATTGCGACTAACTGTGTGACTATAATTAACGGATGGGAACTATTTTGCTCCTTTTAAAAGGTTGGAATTAATTTGCTACAGGGGCCATAGGTTGATAGCAAATTTTTCCTAAACCATAATGCTCTATAAAAATAATATCACATGATGGAACAAGTTCCCAGGTTCTCCATGTAATTTGAAGACTGACCATTTCCAGAAGTTTCTCTCCAGTTCCAAGGAGAAACTCCACTTGCTCCAACGGCATCAGCTGCAGTGATAGCAAGAGGATGCCCGTCAAGATCTGAACGTCTTTCTAAATTGACAGTTGACCTGCCATTAGCTGTATGCCAAGGTTTTAGCAAAGAAAATTCCCGTTAAAATGGGCATTATTTGAAGAGTGTATAACCCACAAGAAATAAAGTCCAAGATCGGATGGACGAGTCATTCAGAAGCATGACGGAGAAACCTTCATAAAGTTGAAAAAACACAAAAATATGCTGAAATGAAGATCTGAGAGAAGTACATAATATTGGATGATATCAATATAGAGAACTTTCCTTATACATTACCGTTTTCATATAATTTTAGCATTTATTCATATTATAAAATTAACTAATCAAACTTTATCTTACACCTACAGTGATTCACCAACCATCGTACGTAAAAGGAAAGAGTAAGCATGAAATTCAAATCTGTAAATGTCATGTGGTTTGGAAGGAGCGTCTCGCCCACTACTAAGAAATAAACAGTATCAAAATCTGGGGGAAATTACAGTACACAATCATGCTAATCCAGTGAGCTTGTACAGGGGACAGCTTATAAACAATACTCTATAATTAATAATCTCGAACATATAATGATAACTCCATAAACAACTTCCTCTCACAGTCTCACTTCCCAAAAATTAATATTTCAAATACCTGTGTCTCTCTCCCCTTTCTCTCTCATACACAGTTGGTTTGCTATTATTTTTCTTTTTTAAGAAAAAAACGTTAAGTTAGATTAGCAAGAAAAGCCAGACTGGTTTCTTCATTAAATGAGACGTACACACATTATGCATAGAATACATGGAGTAAAGGTGGCCATGCAGAGATCCAAGCAAATGGCACCAGCAGACCTCGTAAATGAAAATAGATTTCCTCACGCAAGAAAATCACATGACATGATGACAACAAATATTTTAACAACGGAACTATTTAGGACATTATTACCCAATTTTGCTATATGTTCAAATACATATAAAACAGTAGCTGTGACTATTGACCAAAATTGAACTCAAGTTTAGAGACATTCCATCTTCTGAAACCAACACTTTTGATGTTATTTGGCATACAATAATTTCTATATGCCTATTATGAATCTGCACCCCCCGGGATCGATAAACCTTTTGGATCTTATTAACCATTGATACAAATTGAATGCTTTGAAAGACATAACAATAATAAAACTTACCTTCCACAGGTCCAAAAGCAATACCGGAGTCATCAAGACCTGCAGAAGCCAAATAAATTCGCGAGTTAATTGGAATTTGTGCTACTTTTGTGAACATTTGGCAAAACAATTAATTCCTTAAAAATATGTAAGACTTCACCCGGAATCATTATTAAATCCATGTAATATGCAGAAATCAAGAGGGATTCTACAAATTAATCTACACAAGATGCAGATATATGGAATTGTCAAGATGGACAGATACGAGGAAACTAAGTAATCATTTCATTGTTATGATAACGTATATGCAGGTGCCAAACACTTCTTAATTAGAACCGACAAAGAAAGACGCTCTGAGACATTCTCATCCATTTTCAGTATTCCCAGAAGCCAAAAACCACTACGACATTAAAAGAATATGAAACCGACAAATTGAACACATTCCTGCTCTTCCCGTTTTCTCACCAACGATATGAAACCACCCAAAAGGACACAAGCACGCGTGCTAGTGCACTTAAGTTAAAAAAGTGAAATTCACTATATTATTCAATTCTGATGACCTGACGGACTCAATTAAAAAGCCTCATTTAAATATTAAACTTCTTCCACGTTCTCCCTACTCATAACATAGAAGAACAACAGTCAAATAATTAAGCATACCATAGCCTGAAAATGCACTAGGAGAACCAGATTCAAGACAGAATATGGGATGGTTATTGTAACAGCAGCAAACACATATATAATACATATTCACTCCTGAAATCACAATGATTTCCACCAATCCTCACTTCAATATCCTCTTATCAGAATTATGCATAAATAAATTAACGTTCAAAGCAAAGAGCTAAAATAACATAAACCAACAAACAAATTTAGAAAAAAATCAACTCCCAAGATAGAAAATTAAAAACATTTTTCACACCGAAATCACGAAATAATCTGAGATAAAGAAAAAAAGAAAACCTTTTTCAGCGAATTGCAAAAAGGATTCAACTTTCGAACCGCCAGCAGCAGCAGCAGCATTAGGAGGTGTTGGACTCTTGTAATTAGCTTCAATCTTGCTCCTGTCCCTCAAAATCTCCTCAATGTCCTTGTAATAAGACATCTTCGCAGAACCATTTCCATTACTATCTTGATTCTGCTTAGCTTTCTTGAACTCCTTCAATAAATTCCTCCACTTGTCGGTGCACATAGTGGGGGATCTATCGAACCCCCTCTCCCTCATTTTCATCGAAATCTGGTCCCACAAATGCTTATTCGATTTCGAGGTGTTGAAAGCCGAATCGATTTCTCGGCGAAGGGATATGAGGGACCTTGTCTCTTCTTGGACCCAAGTCTCGGCCCTTTTCTTGGGGGCAGTCGATTTTGGGTCATAAGAGAATGATGGGTTGGCTGAATTTTCATTAATTACGTTTTCCTCCCCTCCACCGCTACCGGCGGCGGCGGTGTCACCGCCATTGGTGATGAGATGGTGAGAAGGAGGGACTTGGACGATCATGCTGTTCTGGTTGGTTTCTTGTTTGTTGTAGAAATCTATGGCTTGTTGTTGAGGTTTTTCAGACATGTACATGGTTATTGGGTGAGGAAAATTGAGAATTTGAGGAGACTGCGAGTTTACCTTTTTCAGTATAGAGTGCAGGAACAAGGGAGACAACACTTGTACCATTCAGACACTGAGATAAATGTTTGGTTACAAAGACTACAAGGGGAATCTCTTACTCCTTTTTGTTTTTAACTTTTGGTTAAATGTGAAATAATATTTTTTCAAAAATATGCATTTATATTTGTAGTTGTTGAATATAAGTTCTTTATCAAAGAATTATATACTTCATTGTTCAGATCAAACAAGCAGTTATATTACATAAGAGTACATGTGAACTTATCTATGGACAATGTATTGCTTTGGTTACATCTTGTTGAGATTAGTTACGACTGAGATAAACGTTTAAGTATCCCTTCCATATGTTAATGAATTTAATCTCCTGCGCATGCTCTTTTAGATGAGTACACCATTTGGTTATTGACCAACTTTAATTAAGTCGGAACTTGTGGAGTTGAGCTTGTGCTCTTCACTTGAGACGGACTTGTAAAGCCACCAAGGATTTTCTCCGTATAAAATGAAATGTATTTTGACGGAAGGACAAATCAAAGGCTCAGCACACTTAAATCAAATCGTAGAAGCCATTTTTGTACCTTTTGAAGCGTTGAATGGATTTGGGATGATTACCTAAGTAGTCGGTGAACTTTATGCAAAGGTTTTCAGGAAGTTATTGAACTTCAAAAGTTTTCTAATTAGTCACTGAATTTTATAAAATGTAATTCCATCAATTGATAATCACTTGAGTGGTCACTGAACTTTTCGTAAGGTTTCCAGGGAGCCACTGAACTTCGAAAGTTTTCTAATTAGTCACTGAACTTTATAAAATATAATCTCATCTAATGAAGGATGGGATTAAACCAGTGATGGATGCGATTAAATTTTGTGAAGTTTAGCGACTAACGAATACATTTTTGAAGTTCGGTGACTTTTTGGAAACCTTACGCAAAGTTCGGTGACTAATCTGGTAATTTATAAATCTTTCATTTTTTTTTCTTTTTTTGATCTTAAAAAGGTCAGCAGACAACATTGTCGGTTACCCCAAGATAAAAGGCTATTATTTTTTCTAATTTCAGCGATGCTAGATAAAATAAGATTGTAGGTAGGAGTGCATAAAAAATGAAAAAAGAAAGAGAAAAAGAAAAAGAAAAAGACTAAAAAAATATAAAAATCAGTTAATTATGTAATTGGTCACTAAACATTGCATAAGATTTTTAAGGGTTCACTGAACTCCAAACGCTTTCCCGTTATTCATTGAACTTAATGGATGTAATTACATTTTGTAAAGTTCGATGACTAAAGGAAAAACTTTTGAAGTTCTCAGTGATGGATGAGATTGCATTTTGTAAAGTTGAATTACTAATGGGAAAACATTTGAAATTTGGTGATCTTTTGAAAACCTTCTGCAAAATTCAATGACCAATTAGGTAATTATCCCAAGGGATTTAGGTTAAGAAATTGAACTCACAAGGCCCATGGAGAGCATGTAAAAAATAATGGACGAGTAAATGTCTCCCCTCCCTAAAAATAGCTGCCTGACCCGTGGAACTAAAATCCTTTGACTTATAATAGAAAATGTTTAAATTTAGGTCTCTTGTACCAAAAAGTACCAAAAATAAAAAAAAATGGAAAGAAAGAAAATGTCTGGGGACTGGGAATGCAAAGAGGTTGAGGATAGCACAAAAACATAGACATATACAACTCTGATGGGCTGTCGTGGACCGATCAATGGGACCCCGAACCTCTCCCGGGGTCATAGGAAAAAGACAAGACGTGGAAAGACGGTGATAAAAGCAAGTGGGGTAAGAAGATATTGGGTTCTACCTGGGTGAAGAATATTGGCAAGAAATATAAAAAATGATTAAGATCTTTCGTACAACTGACAATGAATTGAATAGAATAACGAAAAATGAACCAACCCTAGTCCCTAGATTTAGTGTCATCCCATACAATTTTCCATATGGTTTTCATTGTTGGTAAGGTTTTGCATCATGCTTGGTTCAAAATTAAGGATTCATGCCCTTCATTATTTTTGTAGCTCCTCTTATTCATTATGAACGATATTCTATATAGAAGTAAAAAAAATGTTAGTTATGCTAGTGTTGACATATAAAAATGAGACCCAAATAAAATGGTCCAAAAAGTGAAGTCCAGTTGAGGAATTTGAGAAATAGCCCAAATGAGACCATTGTGAAGTATAGTGGAGGCCCATAAACGGAGGACTATCATCGTCCAAGCCTACATGACGCCCAGGAGCGAATGAAATGTCTTATTATCGCTCAGAGCTACTGTCCCATTCTCGCCCAAGCCTTCAAGACGCCCAAGATCTGGGCGAATACAGTGTCCTGTTTAATCGACAGTTATTGAAGCAATTTTTGAGCGGTCTTATCACATTCCACGATCCAAGAATCTCGGTTGCAAACAATTAAGAAGAGTAGTACCAACAGTTTAAAAACGATAATTCCTAACACGTCGACCATTATGAGGCAAGGGAGTAGTTATAAAGCGGCAAGCAGTTTTCAAATAGTTTTACAAAGAAACTAGTGAATGAGTATAAAAAAAAAAAAAGAAGACATAGAAGAAAAGGACCCCGAATCAATCACTCTCAAACATAAAATATGTAATTTTACTTCTTTTAATTCTTATTATCAACTTTCAAATTACTTTGTGTGCTTGTGCTTGTGCTCCTTAGAGGCGTTCTGTTTCGTTTTTCATTGTAATCTTCATAAATAAAGCACCCCTCGTTGGGACTTTGTCTCAAAAGGTTTGTTCCTTACATAATCGTCTGAATCACTTTTTAATTGTTAGCGAGACTCGATAAATCCCTCGCGAAACAGCTTGTTTCTGTTTTATGGTTTTCCGATTTGGATGCGTGCAGGCCCATCCGTGACCACTCCTATATATTTAGGTAGATTTTGGTTTTAAGAACTTCAGGTGGGGTCGGGGTGCAATGCTGGATAAGATTGGACAGTATAATCAATAANAATTTGGTTATCTTTTGAAAACTTTCTGAAAAATTCAATGACCAATTAGGTAATTATCCCAAGGGATTTAGGTTAAGAAATTGAACTCACAAGAACCATGGAGAGCATGTAAAAAATAATGGACATAGTTTGGTGTAAGTTGGAACCTGAGTATCAATAAAATAATAATAATAATAATGGACAAGAGTAAATGTCTCCCCTCCCTAAAATATAGAAGCCTGACCCGTGGAACTAAAATCCATTGACTTATAATAGAAAATGTTTAAATTTAGGTCTTTTGTACCAAAAAGTACAAAAAAAAAAAAAAAAAAAAAGAAAGAAAATGTCTGGTAATGCAAAGAGGTTGAGGATAGCACAAAAACATAGACATATACAACTCTGAGGGGCTATCGTGGGCCGATCAATGGGGACCCTGAACCTCTCTCTGGGTCATAGGAAAAAGACAAGACGTGGAAAGACGGTGATAAAAGCATGTGGGGGTAAGAAGATATTGGGTTCTACCTGGGTGAAGAATATTGGCAAGAAATATAAAAAATGATTAAGATCTTTCGTACAACTGACAATGAATTGAATAGAATAACGAAAAATGAACCAACCCTAGTCCCTAGATTTAGTGTCATCCCATACAATATGGTCTTCATTGTTGGTAAGGTTTTGTATCTTGCTTGGTTCAAAATTAAGGATTCATGCCCTTCATTATTTTTGTAGCTCCTCTTATTCATTATGAACGATATTCTATATAGAAGTAAAAAAAATGTTAGTTATGCTAGTGTCGACATATAAAAATGAGGCCCAAATAAAATGGTCCAAGAAGTGGAGCCCAGTTGAAGAATTTGAGGAATAGCCCAAATGAGACCATTGTGAAGTATAGTGGAGGCCCATAAACGGAGGACTATCATCTTCCAAGCCTACATGACGCCCAGGATTTGAGCGAATGAATGTCTTATTATCGCTCAAAGCTACTGATCCATTCTCGTCCAAGCCTTCGAGACGTCCAAGATCTGGGCGAATACAGCGTCCTGTTTAATCGGCAGTTATTGAAGCAATTTTTGAGCGATCTTATCACATTCCACGATCCAAGAATCTCGGTTGCAAACAGTTAAGAAGAGTAGTACCAGCAGTTTAAAAATGACAATTCCTAACACGTCGACCATTATGAGGCAAGTGGGTAGTTATAAAGCGGCAAACAGTTTCCAAACAATTTTACAAAGAAAGCGGTGAATAAGTATAAAAGAAAAGAAGAAATAGAAGAAAAGGACCCCGAATCAATCACTCTCAAACATAAAATATATAATTTTACTTCTTTTAATTCTTATCATCAACTTTCAAATTACTTTATGTGCTTGTGCCATTTGGAGACGTTCTGTTTCGCTTTTCATTGTAATCTTCGTAAATAAAGCACCCATCATTGAGACTTTTTCTCAAGAGGTTTGTTTTTTACACAATTGTGTGAATCATCCTTTAATTGTTAGCGAGGCTTAATAAACTCGCGTAAAATAATTTGGCACGCCCGGTTAGCTATCTCAACAAGCCGAGCCTGAGCAAAAAAAAGCTCGTGCTTGGCTCGAGCTTTTTTGAGCCCTAGCCTAGTCGAGACAGCCAAAAAAAAAAAAATAAGGCTCGGCCCGAGCCTTAGCGAGCCAAGCTGAGCCTGGACCGAGCTGTTCAGTTTTTTTAAAATGTCAAATTTACATTTTTACTTAAAAAATTTAAAATTTGTATGGTTTATACGAGCTATAAATTAAATAAAAAAGTTCGGGCTCGACTCGAGCATTTTTGGGCCCGAGTGGCGAGCTATGCCCGGTGGGACATTGGTGTTTGAGGATACGGAAAAAATTGAAACAACATGCCTCATAAGGATTCTGGTAAAGAACCAGCAAGTCAATGAGTAGTCTAGTTGTGATCGAACGATATGAGGAACATCAAAGTACTCCACGAACAGAGGGACAGAGTCAAAGCAGTCAAAGTCGTTACAAGCCATGACAGAATTGAGTTTTCGAACCATGCGTGCATTACTTGGGGAACTCACACAAGATGTCGTTGAATGGGTAAATCTACGAAATGTTCATAATATGAAAAAATTTA